TGTTCCATGGCATGTGTAATAAACATAAAAAATATACTGTACTTTTTCACTCTGTTTTAAATTACTTGATTAACAGCTCCCCTGTGCCATAGTTAGTCTTACAATTGTGCTGATGTAAATTGCCTAATTAAGGGAATGCTTGTATTTGTCAGTGGTTCACATGCTGCCACTTGTTTGTTTTTAGTTCTCATACTCCAATTATTCTGGTTTGTGTGTATATTAGTTTACAGCAGCAAGCACAGACTCCTACAGTAGACAGGTTTAAGCAGTAGAGTGATTGTGGTTAGATACTTGTACCAGGATTTTATCGACTGCAAATTCAGCAGAGAAGTCCTTTACTGTTAAAACATGTATTTTTGGCAGTTCATGCTACTTCAAACATATTTTTAGTACTAGTACTTCTAGCCATATCAGCTTGTCAAAGCCTGATTTTGTCAAATCTTAAAAACTAAACAGGCCTGTTCCTGGTTAGTACTTGGGTGACAGACCACTGGGAATTCCTGGTGCCACAGTAGGGGGACAATGGCAAAAAATAAAAAATAAATAAAAAATAATGTCATTATGTCCTTAGGCAAGGCACTTCACCCACATTGCCTAGTAAGAAAGAGGTGTGTGCGTGAGTGATGGCTGTAGTTGGAGGGGCTGATGGCGCAGATTGGCAGCACTGCTTTTGTCAGTCTAACCCAGGGCATTGTAAAGCATTTTCTCTTGAAAGATGCTGTTTAAATGTATAATGTGTAATTAATGAATTACTTAATTAAGTAATCACTTTAACCTTAACAAAGACACCCTTACCTTGACCTTAACAAAGACAGCGATAGACAAAGATAACCTTACATAGATATGCTTAACCTTTATTCTGGTTCCATACAAAATATGAGTGCCATAAATGGACATCACATATCTCCCACTTTTGACCCCAGGGACGATCCAGGAGGTGATTGTCCTTATTTTAATCTACTGGTTATTGCAAATCATATTTACAATCAATATTTACAAATTTACACAACATATACACTTCAAGGCATCTTATTAATAAGAAATTGTGATATTATTTGCTTTAACTTCAGTTATGAGTCAAAATTTGTGGATGAGTATAGCCAAGAAACTCCCTACTACTCTTGCACATCTCATGAGTAATTTTTTTTAAGCAAATAATGTCATCTACATCATTCACATCTCCACTTTTGCTTAAGGAAAGGGGACTTTGAAGCAAAACAACAGTAATCCCTTTATTTTTTTCTACTTTTATTTTGTTGTAGTTAGTATGTAATTGAGTCTTCTGCTGCAAATACTTAACAGCTGTTGTCTTTATCTTTTTAAGAAACTGGCTCTCCCATCACATCTACATGTGCAGGATTGGATCACTCTCTCACCACCCCTCCAGGCCAAGCAGGAAAACCTGTACCAGGATATGATGGCAAGTTATTGTTGATGTGCATGTTTCTGTTTAAGCTATGTACTTTAATTCTTATTTTGTACTGATAAACGCACTTCAAGTTGGAGCAATGAATATGAATTAATTACCCTGAAATAATCAAGTTTTCATTTTCACAGTCCGAGTCATAGATGATCATATGGAAGAGGTAAATCCAAGAACTCTGGGAAATATTGTTGTTAGGTAAGCATTTGGTTTATGCACATAACCTGTATAAATAACAGGAATTGTGATCTCGATATTAAGTGAATATGATTCACTATAACAATGTTCTTGCTACTGACTTTGTGCCAAGGCGGGGATTTCCATTGCATCCACTTGAACATGGTGCCCAGGAATAACAGGAAGTAGCTATAAACAGACAGGGACAGCTGTGTTACTGTACTCAGTGTCAGCTCAACTCTCTGATAAGGCAGCATATTAAATATTTACAGGAAAACAGGAGAAAGCTTTTCTGAAGCACATGTAGTGTTGCATGATACTTACTGCTGTTATTGTGGCAGTAGTTGCTTTCTTTGTTGTATCAGAAATAACATTTTGTGATTACTACATAACATTATACTGTGTCAATGTTCATGTAACTAATTAGTTTAGTTAAAATTTTAGCTATGCTTAATGTTATGTTCAGGCTCCCTTTACCTCCAGGAGCTGCCTTGTCACTATGGCAGAACCAGGATCTGTTCAAAGAGCTCTACTTCACCAAGTTCCCTGTAAGTATTTGTAAATATTTAGACTTTTATAATATTTGTAATTTAAAGCAGACTCAGTAAATCTCTCAAAGGGATATATTGTAAGAGGGTTCCCTCTAGTGTTCATAACTTGATTATATTCCTATTTCCCAGAACTAGTTGAGCTCAAAATAATTTGTTTATGTGTATTTCCTAAAAGGGTTACTATGACACCATGGATGCTGGTTTTGTGGATGAGGAGGGATTCATTTACATCATGTCTCGTTCTGATGATGTCATCAATGTGGCAGGGCACAGACTTTCTGCAGGAGCACTGGAGGAGGTATATACACCTGAGTTTTCATATTACCATAATACACAAGACTTTTTCTTGTAAAATATAGAGATTATTTGTTCTGTAGGCAATCCTGCAGCATCCAGCGGTAGGAGACTGTGCTGTAGTGGCACTGGAGGATGCTCTGAAAGGTCATGTGCCCTTGGCTCTGTGTGTGCTCAAGAATGGTGAGTCATACAAGAAGCAACTTTTTTCTTAGGCCATGGTTAACCATATAGCATCACAATTGTTTTCATTTGCTTTCTTTTTAAGGCGTGCTCAAAAATAGAGATGAGATTGTTAAAGAGATAGTGAAGCATGTCAGAGACACAATTGGACCAGTTTCTGCTTTCAGAAAGGTCTTTTTTGTTCGAACTCTGCCCAAAACCCGCTCGGGGAAGATTCCACGCTCCGCTTTGGCAAATTTAGTCAGTGGCAAACCCTACAAGGTATAAATAAATTCATGATCATTTCTAAATGATAATGAACTAAATCACTTTTGTTTGCTCCACAGATCACTCCAACCATAGAAGATCCCAAAGTCTTTAAAGCAATTGAAAAAGAGATAGAAAAAGCTCCATTAGGGGCCTAGACCTGTTAATAGAACATTACGAGACATTACTTCTTTTCTGATGTTTTTTTTTTTTTTTTTTAACAGTGCAGCAGCTAAATCATTTATAAACAGGTGTGTCCTAAAAGCTTTTTAATTATGCATACTGTTTTTAAGTATGGACAATGTTTATCAATGCAGCTTTTTACTAGCCTTTGTGCTATGCACATTTTAGTCAGTTGCTGACGGATGCAATTTTGTAGCATTTTAAATGTGAGTACCAACATCAGTCAAAAGTTATACCCAGAAAACAACAAGATACATACAGTTTCTTTTAATGTCATTGAAATTTGTTTGCCCGCACCACTTTTGACAAAAGTACAAGAAGTTATAAATAAAAAATGAACACAAATTAATGACTCATTGTTCGTGCAAATTGTCAAAAGAAAAACGTAAACCCATTTACGTCAGCAGTCAGAAATAACTCAAAGACAGATGACAGGGCTGCAGCAGGAACCCTTGGACAGAAACAAAAAGTCAACAGTTACACCAATGTAAGCCACAGCAAGCAACAAGTTTCAAATGTCACCTCACTTCACCATGGTCATATACACTCTATCTACGCACACTATGAGCGAAAGCGTCTGTCTTTCAGTTATTCCCTCTGGTGTGGACGTGGTGGAGGGCTCAGGGAGAAGGCCAGCTCGGCTGAGAGAGTGTCCTTGTGTTTTACTCCTGACAGAAAATACAGTACAACAGTGACAGTACTACAAACGACGCACTGCTTGGAGCTCTGAGAGGATGTGTTGTGCAACTTCAGATCACAGCAGTGTATTTTGTTTTGTCCTTGGCTACTAAAGAGTCCATTATGCTGATACATGTGTATCAAAGTGCTTGTTATGTCTTTCTCCTTTTTATGATGGCCTGCTCATATGAAAATGTTTGAAGGGTTCATAAACTTGTGCACCACTAGAGGGCAGGTTTTCACACAACATCCAGAGTCGTTCCTCTCTCTGGCACAGCACAGATCAATTATAGTCATTATTATAACACAATGAAAAAATAAAAGGATATGTACAAATTGATCTAGGGAAATGGGATCATATGTATACAGTTTAAAGAGCAGCATATATTTATCTATGGTCTACTAAATGAGGTGGCAGGAACCTTTTTTTGCACAAACTCTGGATACTTTTTACACATAAATGTTTATATATATTTATATTTATAAAATGGCATATTTATAATAATTTACAGATAACCTACACTTCTCTGTAGAAGAATGCACAGTACATTATGCATGGACAGGATTCTGTACACATAGAAGGTAAAAACTGTGAGAAGAGGGCAGCCTGCAGGAGAGTTAGCACCGATGTGAGGTGCCCGGGGAAGCAGAGCACAGAGGAGAGCAGGACTTCTTGGCAGTGCTTGTCTTCATAATGTTTTCTGCAGTTCCGGCTCCATTCAGAACTGCAACTAGAACAAATATAGACTCATCAACATCAAGTACACATTACATACACATTTTGTACTATCTTTATATATGTTCAGTATCTTTCACAACTAGTAGTCAGTCTGGTCAAAAAAGGAGCAATGGAAAATCCTTTAACAAAATATAAATGAGTCCAACACAATCTGAACCACTGTTCAGCTTTTACTTATAAATCAAGATTAAAGGTTAAAATTGGGATAAGATCTGGTGGTTATTATTAGTGTTCTGCTATAATAAGATGTACAAAGTTATATTGATTATTCCTAAGAAAAAAATACAATGTGCCCAGCTGTCATCCATTGTACTAAAAAATTGAAATCAACACAATCCCATTTCATTAATTAGTTATAAATCCCATTGTCTTTTTGTGTTAAAGCAATTTTAAAAAATTCAATGAAATCCAAAACCCTTGTTGTTTCTTTCTACCCCTTAATACAGCACAAGCTTGTCTCCAGTAACAGTGTATTGACAGAGTCTGTGTTACATACGGTGTACAGTCATAGGTCCCTCTCTTCCTCTCAGCAGGAGTATGTTCTCACCGTGGAGCTGTCCAACCGCTGCACTGCAGACGGGCCGACTGAGGAAAGACCAGGAAAGACAATTAGTAAAAAATAAGTGATCACAAAGTAAACTCATCCATGCTGTCCACAACACCTTCCCAGTAACATGAATGGGACTAACTACGTACTTATCACGCAAAACAATACTATAGTGTGTTAGAGGTTAGCCAGGATAACGCAACACAAAGTTTTGTTTGGGAAACACGGGGAAAAACATATTAGTACAAACTGGGGCAAATTGGAGGCTTCCTCCAAGTCCACAATGTTAAAAGAGGAAAGGAGTGACTTCTTTTAACAACCAAGAGTAGATTACACTATACTGATGGTGAGCTACAGTATCGTTTGCACATCTATGTATTAACTGTGATGTGAGACATGTGATAAAGCAAATATTTTTCTAAATATATAAACAAGTTTCCTTCTGTATTTCCATCTGATACCCAGATTTTAAATGGACAGTACAGAAACACAATGACACCTGGTCTAGATCATGAAAATGAGCTAATATTTCAAATGTTATACCAAAGATATTAAACACCCTTGGACATTTCTATTAAGAACTGTCGAGAGGAAAAGACTGAGAAAAGGAGCACCATCAGACTGATAGGACAGTGTGGCCAGGAGGGACATGTGTGGAATAATGAACACAGGATCCAAAAGCCCTGGGCCTCTCACAGAGGCATAGCTGACCTTGAAACCAGTCCAGATATGTGTCATCAGGACTGTCATCCAGAGCCTCATAGAGGACTACACAGGAGCCACCACAAAAACAATAGCACAGTCAAAGAGCCCAAACAATGCCGTATTATTACTTAATAAATATGCATAATTTGGATTAAATTTGCACAGCATGAAGTTCTAAAATATGTTTCAGTTCTGAATAAATGCTTTGTTAAGTAAATATGTAATAAGTATAATATTCAGTGCTCACCATCTGGGGGCAGTCTTCGAGAGTGACCGGATGCAGTGAGCCGAAAGCCAGCAGGGAGAGTCTCTGCTGACCCTGGCATCATACTGATGCCGTGTACATCCCTCGGTGGAAACTGCCTCCTCCAGGAAGGACCTCTGAAGTCTTTGTCATCACACTGTAGAAAAAAGAAGCTCAAAGTTGAGAGATGCAAAAATACACACACACACACACACACACACACACACACACACACACACACACACACACACACATATATAGATTTGTGACATATTTATTCACAAAACTTAAATATATTAACTGATCATTAGGAAAGAGACTAATTTGTGAATATTTAGTTGTGTTAGCGTAATTTGGTTCACCTCGTCCAGTCGTCGGTCAGTACCCAGGGCCAGCAAATTATTGTACTCTCGCTCGAGAATCTGACGTGCCTACAGAGGAAAAACATGACATTCACATAATATTCTCTGCTATTCTTAGAAGCACCAACCCAGCAGACACACTACTGTGTTCACAATGCTCCAGACAGGCAAACAAGGAGGAATATATATGCAGCGAAGATTCACGGGGCAGGCTGCCAGAGCGACAGTTGGCAAATCTGCATGTTCTGATTTAGACCAACCTTTGTATCTTGACAGCAACATAATGCTAAATTAAAGCTGCACTGATGTTGATTTGATGCTCACAAGGATTTAAATAGATAATACAGACTGGTCTCAATCGATCACTGTTTCCATATCATAAACTATAGCAATGTATGAGCTCTTTCAAACCTGAGTGTTTTGCGTGGGTATCTGGAGGAGCAGCGCCAGACTACTATAGTCAAAGTTGTCGTCAAGGGCAACCAGGGCTCCATGCACTCCACTCTCCAGCAGAATGTTAGCATAGTCCCTCAGGCCTATGCTCTGCACCCAGCGGATCACCCGCTCATTGCTCCATACCAGCACATCTGCAAACATGTTACATTACAAATTCCTCTGGTAAAACTCAAGACACCACACACAAAATTTTAGATAGACATTTAATGTTTTTACCTCTTAAATCGTGTTGGCTATGCTCTCGTCTTCTCTCTAGTTCTTTTCTGTCATAATTGAGCTTTTTCAGACACATGATGCCATATTGTAAACTTGTTCTACAAATCAAAAGGCCAAAAAGTAATGTCAGCAATCCTGTGCATTTTACTTGTTCACATAAGCCCCATGACTGTACCTGTGGAAACTGTCCACCATTTTAAGGTGCACCCTAAGATCCTTCTTGGTGAGGTGGTCCAACATTCTGGCGTCCACCAGGCACTCCATGAAGTAGCTGCGGTACTGAGGTAGTCCTAGACTGGGCAGCCACTCGTTTCCTATCCACTCATGGTTCATATCACCATAAGCTAGAGTCTGGGAATGTCACATATATAGTATTATAATGGTTGTAATTTATTGGAAAAATGTAAATGGTATTTTCTTGGCTTTTACCTGAGCCCAGCTCCCTTCTTCAGAATTTGACTTCTGAAGTGAAAAAAAAGAAAAGAAAAAAGGCAAAGTTAAAACAAATATGGATAACAAATGCAGTGATATCCAGTGGAAATCTTTTCTTCTATTTATATATTTATATATGTGCAAAGTATTTTATTTATGTTATTTTATGATCATACTATATTAGGCATTGTGGTTATATACAGATATGATTATTATTATTTATTTATTTATCAACTCATGATATCCATGTAACATCCATTCACACAAACTCACTCCAGAGAGAAGAGGGAAGTTCAGGGGTACATGGGAACTGACCGTTTTGGAGGGGGCTGCCAGGGTCTCCATCTCCTCATGGGTCACCCAAACATTGCCTGATTGCTACAGGGCAAGGCCCAAGAGACAGAGTCGCAGCAGGGTTGGTAGTAGAGGTCCGGCAGGAGGGGCAAGCAGTGTTAAAGAATAAGAGCAGCACCACTGTAAGCCAATAGTGTTATAGCATCACAGTCAGATGACGAAGAGGCCCCACCCACCAGGGGGCAAAGGGCAAATGCAGTGGACAAAAACAAGCAAAGTACACAATACACTGTTAAATAACACACATACACTATAAACACATATTAGTACAATTAACAACATACAGCATTTTCACATTTACAACAACTGTTAAGCACATTTAAAGTACATAATGGTGTCTCTGTATAGTTTGTGTGTGTGTGTTCTAATTTTAAAATAAAAAAATTATAAATATAAACAGAAATGAAAATATGAAGGAGTATAGATTTCAAACCATGTGTAATTCAATGTGGTTTGTGTAAAGATTTCCAATAAAGTTGGATTTACTGAAGTAAAATGTACACAGAAGAAATTCAATTCTGTCAACTGGACAAAAGGTTTTTGAGGAGCTTGGATGTACTGCGAAATGTACTTGATCAAATAACTTTTTCCAGCTGGCAGAATTGAATTTCTCCTGTGTGATGGATCCTACCTGGACGACTGAGGTATTACACAAATAAAATGTATACATTTATTCAAACACATGGCTTAGATGTCCTTCAGCTGTCTGCAATCATTAGCTCTTTGTCATGCACTGGACATTTTCTCAACACATAAACAAGTGAATGTACTACCATCCGGAAGAATAAACCACTGTTCAACATAGCTGATTTGTTACAAGATCATTTGATTTAAATGTGTGGGTGGCCTGTCACATGCTTCTGTTGAGTAAGGAGTGAATGTAATTAAATAAGAATTTTTGTTATTGTTTGAGGGGGAATGAATTACAATCTATGTAATTAAACCAAAAATGTTAATTAATAAATCTAAATAAATAAATAAATAAAACAGAGAACATAATGTGATTCATGCAGATCCACACATATTCAGCAGCACTCACAGTTCTTGTGGTGGGTGGTGCAGAGGGGCTGGTGAGGGAGACCATTTCCTGAATAGCCAGACGGAGCTTGAGTCTGTGCAGAGGGTTACTGATACCGATCTCCCTCTGGATCTCAGTGTCTGACAGTGCTGACATGATAGCTCCACTCTTGACGTTTGCACGGCAGGCAGCAACATACCACGCAGGCATCCCCAACCAAAGCTTTGGCACAGGAGCAGAAGGGCACACAGAAGGGTTGTTTAGTATATGTATATGTAGTATATGCGGGCATATTGTGTCCTGTACCCTATTCTGAGAAACAACATCTCAATTCAAACATAGGTGTTGCAATACCATTTTCTCTACAGTAGGGGACAGCATTGACTGAATGTTTTAGATGATGATTTATTATTTTTTTTAAACTTACCTCCAACCAGGCAACAACAGTGGGTCCATCCCATTGAGCAAAAGGTAGACCTTTTCTCCTTGCCTCTTCTAGCAGCTCATGTCTGAAGCAGAGAAAATCTGGCATTAAATTAATTCTAAAGCATGGATCTCATCTGTTACCATAGAAATAACATTTTTTTCTATGGTAAAACTAGTATACATGAGGCATGTATTCCATCTTATACATTTCTTTCAAAGTGTCATCATCTTTGTGATGCCACAGACAGAAACAGAGCTCTGATGAAGAACACAGAGCAGTATATTATATTGGTGAACTTTGTAAATGCAAAATCATTTTTCCCCTGACCTATAACTGCAGACTGACATCAATATGTTTAACAAACCTCAACTCTGGCTGAAGACAAGCTAGAGATGCTCACATGTTTAAAATGTGCCTTGTCTCTGTCTTGTAAAATGTTCTACTTTTGTGCAGAATTTCCTTTCTAAAAAAAAAAAGTGTCTAAAAGCCCTCACTATGGACAGGCATTGAAAATTGGCACTAGCGCTATGATACTTTAAATGCATCTGGTGTAACGTAACTGCTATGCCCATAACAACTTTCTACTTTCATACATTCTATGAAGAACTAGAGCTGCTCATTTGAAGCACTTCATTGAGTTTGATCAATTGTTTTCATTTGTACATGAGATATTCTGCCAGTTAATCTTGTCTTTCCTTTATCTGTGCTGTGCTTTTGTGTTGCTAAGTAAGGTCGGTATGTCAACTATTACACTGCATTGTCCTAAGATCGACACAGAACTCTTATGCCAAAATGATTTCAGTCTTTCATTTGATTTGAGTCTGTCATGCATATGTGTAAATTATGCAGCTTTTCAAATCTAGAGAAACATACACCCAGACACACTCACTTCACAGGTGTGCAAACCTTGCTGAATAATAAGATAATGTCTGACAGCTAAAAGAAGTAGTCTCAGTACAAAACAGAGTATGGCATTCTTGTACCACTGTAGAGATGTTGTATTAATACAGTGAAACAAACAATACCATAGATCTAAAGAGCTTATGAATGATACGAAATGTGCAAATCCAAACATTCACTATTTACATATTGAATACATGAGTTATGCTCATGTCTTATGTTCAGATCAGACCTAATGCATGAAGAGATTACATCCACTGAACATAGCTAAGAAAAGGGAGGAAACATCATATGAACAATAACATCTGACATTCCCATAACCAGATATTGCAGCTGGTTATTTAGCACAACAGAGATAGAGACATGTAAAAAGGAGAGGAAGACATTCTGGGCACAGAAAATCAGGCCCCAGTTTAGCGACGGCACATTCGTTTTCAGCCAAGGATGCAGCTGCCATTGGGCTGTAAAAGGGAGGAAGAAACGTCTTGAAATGGTAAATGAACAAAAAGAAAGAAAGCAATGGTTCTATTAACAGCCATGAGGGATCAAGATAGAGATAGTGAGACGTTAGCTTTGGCACTTTCAAGGAGAGTACACATGGACACAGACAGGAGAGATGGCATACAAGGCACACGGCTCAGACAATGGTCACATCCAGGAGTTCAGAGATGTCCTCACAACTTACCCGCTTTGTTAGAGTCAGAGGAGGAGGAGAGGGAGGGAGGGAAGAGAGCAAGAGAGTTAGAGCAGAGGGAGGTAGAGATAGAGAAAGTGACGGGGAGACAAAAGTGTACACAAGTTAATGAGTAAATAGGCAATTAAGGCTCTCAACACAGACACATGCACTCACACAGTCGCGCACACGGAGGACACGATGGTGGACGATCAAGTACAGGAGCATCTGTAGATCAGTCACATGTGGTCTTCTACAATGCAGTCCTGACCACATCATCGTGCAGCAGAGAACATGTGAAATGCACTGAAACACAGCAAGGACCCCCTCCACGGCCTCACATTCAAATGTTCAGGTACATTCAGATAGCTTTGACCTCTGAGGAGAAGACACACCCACTATGGGACCACTGCGTTACTGACCACTCAAGATGCTGAAATGGAAAAGAAGAGCAGGCAGCTTAATGGCATGCAGAGTGGAGGAGGCACCAAGATGCAAGGTGGTTGTGTGGCCTTTATCCTGGAGACTGCTATGGAGAAGTCAGTGCGGTGAGGGAAAACATTTGTCAACATACAACAAACAATACTCTAACCGACTACATGGGAGGCAAAGTTATCCATCATGACAACTCAATGTGCACTTCGAGCAAATGACATTCATCATTTGGCACTACAGCATGGCAGATGCACGCACACACATACACATATCCACACTACACACACTACCATTCAAATATTTGAGTTGTGCTGATTTTGTATTTTGGGTAAATAGAAGAAAACATCCTGAAGAAACTATGGGCAATATACACTACAGTAACTGTAGGAAAAGCTTTTGCAGCTTTCCTACTGACAAAATATCTTTGTTAGATAAATGGGTGATGCTACATAAATCAATAGGCTGACTGTGGATGTCTCTGTGAATACAGTCAGTATAATCAGTGCTTGTGGATACTGATCCAGACTATTGATGAGCTGTATTTGCTAAGGTATTACGCACACAGTTATGCCTTGTGATATAACATATGTCATATACGATACATTATGTATCTACAAAATGTAAGAGAGTCAGTGAATAAGTTACTCTGAATGTAAACTGGCCTGTTGTCTCAATAATATGTGCTTGAATGTAATGTTTCAGTGAAAACTTACTTCTTTTTCAACCTGCGATCTTTCTCAGCCTGAGTGCCTAGTTTGCTAACACCCATCTCCTGTCCGGACATGTCCAGGTCCATCATTGTGGCTAAAAGCAAAGGTAGTAAATATCAGAACATGGTTGTAAAGAGAACTATAGCTATGTCTACCTGCCCCATTTGTGGAGTAATTAAAGAATTGCATACCTTGTGGATCAACCATGACCTGTCTATGTGCCAGGTGGGCCAGCCGGCCTTTCTCTTTCTTTCCAAACAAGCGTCCAATGGAGGATTTGATGCCCTTCTTCTTTGGCTGCTTGTGAAGAGAATCTTGGCTGCTTCCAACACTACTCAGGGTGCTGGCCTCAGCCTCCAAAGAGGCCACAATACTGAACAGAGAAAAGAGGATGCGATATGTGGTTATTTAGCTTAACAATCGTTTTAACATCATATTGAACTGCAGTTATCAGCTGAACATATTTTGGCTTAATATCTGACTTACCCTCGTGCATCGTTGTGTGAAGTGGTTGGCAGTGTGTGTGTCATTCGAACTGTGCGTGGAGTTGGTGGAGGAGATGTCTCACACTTTATGGTGGCCTTGTCCTCACGACCATCTTCTTCCACTGCAGCAATCTGAATAAAGACATCAGGAGTCACTCATTTTAGTCTCTATGACACATTTGTGTGAATATTGAAAAGCTTTCAATTAGATGACAAATATATACCTTTCTTCTGTGTTTCCTTAGATCACTTGGCTTAGAAAAAAAGAAAAGATATCAGCATTTTAATTTATCACAATCACATAGTAAAGTACTAAGTACTACTCCAGTGGCCTATTCAGTCAGGGTAAAGGTTGCATTTGCTGCCTTTACCCTGAATAAACAGGCATCTATTTATATCTACTAATATCATGTGAAGTTCCACCTATGCTACATAATGATTCCTTCCTTTTCCTCACTCTTCTTTATGCTAATATAATGCAGCCTTAGTGCCATAAAACATGTATATCTTTCACTTAAAAATGATCTTAATTGTACACCATAAATTACTACACTCTTAATTAGCAATCACAAATGCAGCACTAATAGTATCATAATTCCTTGTTAATTTTGCTGTGTGATTTACCAGTGTCATGACACCCATACGCTCCATGTCTCGAGCAGGACTTCGGGGGTCTAGTTTTGGGGTGGAGTGTCCACTAGGAGGCGATGAGGAGGCGAGGGAGGAGGCTGTGGCGGAGGCAGTGATAGAGGCCCCATGGTGGTGCATTCGGGCCAAGTTCAGACCCTCCAGACTCACACTGGCCACACGGTTCTCAATCTCCTCTGCCCGCAGCTCTGTTGACTCCTTCTCCTCCTGGATTAATCTGAGACACACCAATAAAGACACCACATTTTAACTGAAGACTCAAAACCCCTGAAGTGAACTGCTCCTTGTCCACAGTTGCTCTGGTTTAAGGTCAAACTCATATTCAGATTTTAGTTTTTTGCTACTTATTGCAAGGTGATGATTTTTTTGTGAATTTTTATGTGATATAAAATGTAACAATCTCCGCTCCTTAAAGCAGTATGCACATAAAAAAAAACACCCAGCTTTGCAGGACAAACTAACTAGATCAGCAGCTCAACAAGCACAGCAAATCAATATGTCTGGAAGTGTGACCTTTTCTAACAAAATGTGTGGGATGTAGTGTGAGGGCGAGGTACCGGATCTCCTTGTTGATTGCGTCTAACTGCTCCTGCAGCATCATGGCTAGAGTCTGGGCATCAGAGTGACCACTGGGAGAGAGCAGATCCATTGAGCTGAACAGGGTCTCTCTGTCATCGTCGTCAATGTCTGACATCTCTGTATCACTTTCAAAGTGATGCCCCCCAAGCACCCCGAGTTGCTGGGATCGCCATTCATGATCTCCCAGGGATTTAGCCTATAGACAAAAAAGATAACAATTTTATTTTTCCATGATTGTCTTATCACTGTATCATCCTTTATTTAACACAAATTCACCTTGCCAAAACACAAATACACAAGTCCAATTGCAGTCACTCCATAAATACTATATATATATATATATATATATATATATATATATATATATATATATATATATATATATATATATACACATATCATTATTATTGTTATTAAACCTGTTATTTGAAATAACATTTATTTTACCGTATATGTAATGACAAACCTTTGTTTCTCGCAGCCCTACTCTTCCTCTTCTCGGCCGGCGGATGACCTTGGCTGAATGATAATGATCTGATTGTGTTTCAGCCAAAGACCCCAGAGAAAAGCGGAGCTCAGCTGATGTGTCCAGGTGAGACCTGAGAGAAAACAAGTGTTTTAGCTACTGATATTTTGTAGACCATTTCCTTACTGTGGTCCAATGAGCAACTTAACTAATTATACAATATTCCAGTGTGATAATACAATGTGACTATTACCTTGAGAGTGTAGGCTCTGTTAGGGAGCCCCCCCTCAGTCTGAATTGGTCCAGTTCTGATCTGAGTTTCTCTATTTCCTCAGCCAACTGAGTCTAAACAAATATGACAAGGTAGTAAATCAAGACAGCATTGATCATTCATTATAACTTATTAATTTAAATCATCTCATATAGTATGACAAGAGCCTTACTTTTTCATGGATCGATTCCTCGTACTGTTTTCTGTAGCCTTCTGAGTCCTGAATTAACAAGTTCTAGATAAAGAGAAGCATATTAAAACCCTAGTCTGACCAGAGCAGTGACATTATTGTATAGTGGTCAAACCTTCTCCTCCAACGCAGCCATTCTCTCCTTCAGATGGAGCTGCAGCCGCTCATTGGACTCAGTCAGGAGTCTGTCCACTGTGTCCGACAGACGCTTGTTGTGCTCTTCATTCATCTTTTCTCTCTGACGTGCCTAAGGATGTAAAAAAACCCAAAAACTATTCATTAAAACAGAAAGGAACTTCTACATAAAAACTAAAACAGCCTGGATTTTTCAATGTGTGTGCTTAACCTAACTTTATGGTAGTAATCACTGTAAATTTTAAGGATCGCAAACTACAAGTTAGAAAAGTGCAGTACAGCAATAATAATTCATTTATAATCCTACAATAATTCCTACTTCTATTGCTGGTTCAAGCACACATAACATTTCCAAGTAAACTGTACTCTGCATTATACAGACAACTTCCTATCAATCTTAATCAATTTAATAAATGCCCTATTGCTTTGCTTGTGATCTCCAGTAATATAGCAGCAGGCTTGTAAAGGACTACAGCCCATCTCATTAAATGATCCCATGTTCCTATCAAATGGTTGAACATCCTAAGTGTCTCATTAGCCTTTGACAAACAACAACTCGTGTGTGGCACATATTGAGTCTGAGTTTCCAAGGCAATACATCAGTTATGCTTGGAGATGCTTGAGCTGTCATATTGATGCAGCAGTGGCTGCTGGGTAACATGGTCTGGCATGCCGCCTCCGTCATGACTCACGCGGAGCAGCTCCTGGTTCTTCTCCTCCAGCTGGCATTCCAAGTGCCTCATCCTCTCCTCAATGCTCCCGTGACGCTCTTCTGCCTACAGTCCACAAACACAGGACAATACAGGGCTGCATTATAATGTGGTTATACTATGTAGGCTATTAAAGAAAAGCAGAGTCAAATCAAGCCAAAGCTTTAACCCAAAGCTTAAAGATGGAAATCAATTTTGCATAGAGAGATAAAGAATCACAAGAGGAAGTATGAGGCCCCCAAAGGACAGAATGAGTGAAAAGCTGCTCCATCACACTGTAAGCTGCAGTCAGAGTGCCATGCAGCTGTCCCATTGGGGTAAAACAGTCCAACACTAGCCCCCGAAACCACCACAGGAAGAATCTGCTCTATACAGGAGGTGGCATGACCTTTGGCCTGTATCACTACCTTCCTAAGAATGGTGTTCATGTCTTGGATTTTAGCTTCCATAACAAAGTGATAATCATCAGGAGAAGTGGATGAGCTGGAGTCAGACTATGTGGCCGAGGGAGAAGGGGAGACATTGTAAACACAAAACACAAATACCAAGTGCTCTGGGGAAATAAGTTGTAAGAGTGATATATATATATATATATATATATATATATTTTTTTATATATATATATATATATTATTTTTTTTTTTTTACCTTAGTGAGCGCTGCTATCCTTTGTGCCAGCTCTGCCTCGACCTCCGGCAGTGTTTCGGCCTTCCTCATGGTCTGCTGTAGCTTCTGCTCAGCTAACTCCAGTCGCTCCTGAAGCTGCCTGTTCTTTTCCTCCATCTGGTCACATGATCAACACAAATGAACTCATATAATGTTTGTACACAGATTTGACAGGAAATATTCAACTCAACTAAATGTAACAGTACCATTAAAAGTAGTGGTTGCGTGTAGTAAGTTGTAGTTATATGCTCATACTTTATTTACTTTGTGAAGTGTGATTTTTCAAAAACACAAAATCATAGCAAATTATAATGTTGATTTTAGCAACATCTCATGTACCAAAAAGCAACAGACTGTATAAAAAGTCTGTATAGTATGAGTGCATTACTGATCACTAAAAGTCCCTATACAGCTACTGAGCATAAAACGCAGAACTAGTATTACCCTCAAGTGTCCTCTTTTGCCGGAGGTAACATTGAAGTCTTATTTTTTTTTTTATCTGTCTCTGCCAACACTGACAGATGCTCTGCTCTCTAAAGCATGAGGCCTGGCAGCTCAACATGCAATAGACCAAAGTGGACTAAGGCAGTGGGCTCAGTTTTTTTCAAGTAAAAGTACAGAAACAGACATTGTTAACATGTTACCTTTCTAGAGCTGTTTTGTATGGTGAAATAAACTGAAATAAAATAGCTAAACATAAAGAAAATAATATTATACCTGACGGAGGAAGGCTTCCTTATTGGCTAATTCATTCTCCAGTTTGTCATTGATGTCATGCACAGAGGTAGACTCTCTCTGGGCACTAAGGTAACGTTTTTCCAGCGTAACGATCCTCTCCTCCATGTCCTCTTTTTGACACATGGCCTGAAAATGCAAACATGTTCATATTAATACACAATGTAGAGGAGAATATCATTAATTCTTTGCTTTCTGGGGAACCACAGAAAGCAAAGAATTGCTGGACCACTATCATTACATAGGAGTACATCTTTTTAAAAATCAATAACTATTTCAGCCAAGGGCAATATGGACTCTACCTCTCTCTATAAGCAATCCACTTCAGTACTAACCACTAAACAAACATACAAACTCATTTTGAAGCATAAATAATTGGGATTGATATTTGACACACATACTGGGTGCCCTTGCTAATGTAACTTTTTCTATTTATTCAGGGTTAGGATTAGCACAAGAGAATATGCCGTTGTAACCTTTTATGGACAGATTATAAACAAAACAATGCATTTATTAGGCAAAGCAAAAGGTTAGATGTTGTTCCAATTCATTTCATACCGAAAAGCAGATTCCAATAGTAGCAGCCTTTGTTTTATTTTTGAATTTTTTATGTGCACAATAAATATGTGGTAGCATATGCTAATCTCTTTTAGGTCACAGCTAACCCTCTTTGAAGTGTCTCTTGCATCTGTTTTTTCCCCTGACTAATGTGCAGACTGGAGCTATCTGTGCTACTGTGTGTGTGCCAGTTGCTGCGTCACCTCTTTGATGTCCCTCTGGTACTTGTTGTTCATCTCTTCGGACTTAATCAGGTCCTTGCGAGCAGTTTCCAGCTCTTGCTCGACCTCGGACACTCGGGAGGAGAGGGAGGACATGCGCTCCTTCATCTGTGCCAGTTCGTAGTTCTGCTTCTCCAGGAGGTCCTGCAGCTCCACCACCTGACTTGCCTCGTGGGCTGACTCCAAACCATTGGATATCCTCTGTCAGAGAGAGGGACCAAAAATGTCAAATCTTTATCTGTGACATAAACTTTTCATTGATTTTCCATTTGGGGATTTATATTCAAGGGAAGCAAAGGCTGGGTAACTGACAAACTCTTCAAACTCCATAAGATAAATTGATTTAATGAGAAAGGAGGACTGTATGTGATGATGGATTTTATGCAGTATAAATGGTATTGTTGGGTTTCAAGGGTTTGTAATCCATGCTAGCAGTACAGGCCTGATAAACTTTCCTATACTTTTATATGCTGTATTATTGTGATCAGTACTAGGAGTCTTATGTGTGATGATACTGTTATTTGGTGAAAACTGTGCCTCAGTCAAAGAAAAGCTTTGTCTCTTTATTATTCATTTAGCCTCCCTTTGGTGATGACCTCTTCTCCTAGATTGTTAATGATCGTCTGATGCAATATGTCTAGACTGTCTGTGTCCATTATACTAGTCACATATGTGCATGTTGTGTCTTCCTGAATCAGTGTAGTGGTTTTGGCAGGCATTCAAGATAAGGCCTCAGAAAACTAACAAGACAGAGTGCACTATTAATCATTATAATTTCTTTGGGTAATTACTCATTTTTCAGATTATGATTAATCCCTATTTACAAGATACAAGTAGTAGTAAAAGCATCACTATTGATTTATTTTAGATGTAGGCTATGCTTTCTACTTTCATTGGGCACTCAAAACTCTTTGCATCAAGACACTGCACTCTATATCTCTATAGTCTATAGCTCTGATGTTCAAAGTTGAAGGCAATATTGTGTTTTGTGCAAACTCAACAAAAAAGGGGCCATCTGTGTTACTCATCAGATGGAAATTTGTATTCATCAGTGCACTTTCATATGTGACTGTGCAGTGGGATCGCTTTGTGTCACCTTTAGACCATGAGAAGAACCAAGAACATAGTTGCAACTATTACAAAAAGACAGTTAGTTCACTTAATATCTTAGAACAATGGTACCCTCAAAAAGGGTAGAATACTGGGGCGAATATTGTGATTAAAAATTGTAAAGATACAGTACATAATAGACTTGTAACCTCCTACCTTGCCATGTACCTTCTGTTGAGAATCGGTGCCCTCCAATAAGTCATCTCCTTCTCCAGCTGCCACTTTCCTCTGGAAGTGTGCATTCTGCTCGCGTAAGGCCACTATCTGCAAAACAACAAACAATGGCAGGGTCTAAGTGAGTTCCTTCACCCTCACAACTTTCTGGATGGAAATTGTAACCACAAAACTGTCTAACTTTTCTGATGGAGGCTCTGTCACGTGCTTATGTTCATGGAGATGTTAAGGCTTTATTGAAAATATATGCCACAATAAGGCAATAAACAAAATCTATCTTATAGTGACATAGTGTCACCAGGTGAAGTAACAAGTCACATATGTGGAGAGACGACATCTAAGGCTGCAAAGATTTGTAAAAAAAGAAAATATTTAAAAATTTCTGTCAAGTATTGCTATTGTGATAAGATTTGCAGTATGCATAAAAAGTACTCTATAGTCTGGAGTCTGTTCAGACCCAGAATGAACATTGTAAACAACTCTGAACTGAAATATAAAATGACTAACTAATACAAGAATCTTATGGATTTCAGAACATGTTTGGAGACATCTAAATTACAGGAACAACACATTTTGTTCTTTTCAGGAGGACATTCTTTTATAATAATAATAATAATAATAATAATAATAATAATAATAATAATAATAATAATAATAACTAATAATAATAATAATAATAACTGTAGCATTTGCGATTTGACAACTTGAACTGTGACTTTAATTCAATGATGTGCAGCTCTTGACTCCACTCACAGTGAGAATGCATTATTTTCAAGGTATTTTTTTTTAGCAACTAAACACCTCTGGTTGAATAGATGCAAGATAAGATAAATGCCATACTGTGAAACACTGAAAACAAAGCAATGACATCCCCATGAAATCAAGCAGGTAGCAGACCCTCCACTCAAAAACTAACATAAAACACCTTTAATGTGTTTTGTGTTTTCATCTAGTGCTGGTTAATAACAGTCTGTCCAGTTCACACCATTTAGGAACATATAGCAGTACTGTAAGATATGTGGACACAGTCACAATCACTATAATTATCTTGTTCTAGGTACCTTTTTCTATCTGAGGCCCCTGTTTTGTGGATGTAATGGTGACAATATGATACTCAACAACAGTAATTAGCTTCTTTCAGAACAGAAACAATGTAAATATCTTTCTTCTCACAGATGGGGACAGGTAGATCTCTGATTTCTCACACTGTATCTTATAATTGTGTCCCCCCCCCCTTTCCATTAAAGACCTGATTTCATTTGAGGCATGAAAATAATATTTTCCTTAACACAAACCTTGTTGAATAATGTGTACAAGTAATAAGCCTTAAAAAGAGGTTTTAACAATGTGCTTTTGTAGAACCACATCCTTTATGCTAACTGAATCACATGCCATTTGCTAATAGGACTCAGGTGAATAGTGAAGAACAGTCTTGTCACCAGAACTGAAGTCATGGGACAAACTGTATGAGTTTCATGGATTTTAAGGACCATAAATGGTTTCCTAATTTGGTTAATTCATTATAAACACATTAGTGTTAAAAGTACTTTTGTATCTATTGGTCTATAGTAATTTTGATATTCTGGTGTCAAAGTAAATCATATTAAAATTTCAATACTAAGACTTAGTACTTAATACTGATTTTGATGCCACAATGACAATTTAAAAACTCATTATACAATTTTTTTTCATCACAAACTAAGAGCAGTTGCTTTAATATTACCATGCAGTTTTACACTAGCTCTGGTTTAGTACAAGACCATTCTAGTATCAATATAAGTTCAAATGAATATCTAGTTTCAATATCAATCAGTATCTACGTAATTATTTTTTGACCACCCTATTCCAGATACATATAACACTCATTTACACCCATATATCAACATATTTTATTTTTATGCTGTCCCCTCTCTGTTTACATACAGTTCTTCATACTGTCACACTTTCCCACGCATCTCCTTTTCTTCTTTTCTACTTTTTATTCTCAGTCAAGGTGTCTGAATGGCATGTCTGACAGGCTGTGAAGTGGATCCTGAGCTGCTGCCATAGTTTTGGTCCTAGTGTCCATTTCTACCACTGTCATTTGTTTTCAGTGTCATTTCGTGCTATAGGGTGCAAGATTGAACTCTAGGGAGAGACCTGGTGCATGTAAAGTAATGCATAATTCAGAACACATCTCGCAGAATACATGCAACTCAATATATTCCATTTTATTTATTTTCTCATAAGCATGCAATGAGTCCTGTATGCATTGACATTGGTGAAAAAAGTGTGTTACCTCCTGATTGGCTGCGGTGAGTTCCTCCTCTAGTGCAGATACCCGTTCCAGTGAAACCCGAAGCCTCTCTCGTACCTAAAATAACATAACACATTGTTTTTTTTGTAATTTATTTATTTATTTTAATTAGGTTTAGCCTTTAATGTCTGTTTTACTATCACACATCAGTGTTACTGGAAACACACAAAGGGAGTGGGTACTAATGCATCCGTTGTCTGTTATACTCTTCTCTTAAAAAAAGAAAAAAAAACAAAAACAACAAAATGTATCATCAGAGAAAAAAATATAAAAAAACCCTGATTCATTCATTCATTTGACTGGTGATGTGAAATAGTCCTTATTGGAGTCAACAGCAGCTAAACTGATTCAGAATTGTTCAGGACTGAAGAAGCTATTTGGATGAGTTGGGAAACATAGTAATGTTTGAAAAAATGTTATCCACTTGACAGAATTCAATTTCTTTTGTTATAACTTTAGATTAGTTTTAGTGCAACAGAGTTGTTGCCTGTTTTTGTGGCTACCTGGCTCACACGCTGAGCAGTTTTTAAAACTTTTTGAGCTCAGTTTTTAACATAATATCATGGTGTTTTAGTTATGTATGAAGTGCAGCATGTGTAGTTCAAAGGTCACAAGTAAGAAGTAAGGGACTGTTGGATTGTGTGAATTGAGCTATTTGTTTTTCCTATTTCATTGGAGACTGTGGCTAATTAAGGAGCTTGCTATGGACATTTGAGATGCTACAGGCTTTTTACATCATATGTGGCAGCAAATGTGACGGAAGACCTTCCAGACGAAACACTTTGAGGGAATGAACCATTTCATCACCAACAGAAACTACAGAGCAAAGTAAGCATAAGGCCTTTTCTTGTAGTGTTCACCTGGCTCCCCCTGGACACTGCTGTGATGCTACAGGACATAGAGGAGAGACATCTTTGATCTCCTCAAACTGCCCTGACACAGATCTGCTCACACTACCTGCCCAGTCCTCCTGTTAAATTGCACTGAGGCCTTTGACTGAGATACAAAGGCCATTGAGAAGCGCAGTGTAAGTGTTGCAGAAAAACTTGAATTTCCCTCTGGATCAAGTATCTCTCTCTCTAGTGAAGATACTAGGGTATAACGTATACTTTCATGTCCCACTGGCATATCTATCCTCTGCAATTGTCTTATCATTAGGACCATCTGGGAAATGAGCGTGATTTTTGAGCATGATTTGGTTTTCATAGGAGTAAACCCACCCAGACATGAAGAGAACATGCAAACTGGACACACTGTACCTTCTCATCCAGTGCTTTATGGTGTTCAAACAGGGACTTGAGAGCTTTGAGGACCTCCACTTCACTGGAGACCCCTGAGGGAGACTGTGCCTGTCTCTTCACCACCGTCATCCGCAGAGACCTCTCATGTCGGGACACAAGGCACTCCAGATGTTCCAGCAGCAGCTACAGGGGGACAAACATGTAAAGAACTCCAATTAGGTATGATATTGTTACCACTGACAAATAAAAACAGTATCTGTATCAGAGCACCTGTTGAGTGAGGGATATTTTACGAGAGTGAACATTTTGTCCTCACAGTTGATGCGTTGGAAGCAGGGAAATTGGCATAAGTGTTAAGCATTTCATCAAAAAAATAAGTAAATAAATAAATAAATAAAATTATTTGGGATTTCTTGTGGGATTTAACTGCCATCAATCTTAAAAACATCTCAAACTAACAGTCAAATATTTACTTAAATCTGATCATAATCATCTTTTTCTCAAATGAACACAAGTGTAGCCAAGATAAAGGATAACCACATATTGTTTGTGAATTAAACAACAATGTTGCTCCGTTCTTGGAGCTTTAAATGCCTGAGATGTCACATCAGTGTAAAAAAGCTGGCTATGTCCAGAAGGAAACTGTTCTCGAGAAAGCATACTGTATAGTTCATTAATAAGATAAGTGGACGCTCTGGACATAATATAACAGGAAGATGTTTGTTTTAAATTAGTTATTAGATGATTGCATAAATGTTAATTAGCTGATTGCATTCATTATGTAATATTGAATACCTGGTCTCCCTTCTTTCCTTTTTTTTTTTAACCCTGATCCATTAATTGTCTGAACATGTCTTAGAAGATTTATTTATTGTCTATAAAATCAGATCAGTGTCTGAAGCATAATTAAAGTTTACTCAAACAAAACCCAGTGGAGGATTTGAGGTGATAATAAAGTGGGAAGTGATTTTGATCTGTTTTTTTTCTCAGCTGTTGTGGAAAACTCTTTAAATGCCAGACAACAGCAGATGGTAAGGAAGCCATTTGACCTGACAGATGATGACAGTAATTTTTCAAATTGTATTCAAATCATTCCAAAAAGCTTGGTGAAACTTGCAAGTAATCTAATACTATGGTAAAAGAAAAAAAAAAGAAAAAGAATAAAGTGCTTTAACTAGAATTAAGGCTACAGTGTTGCTTCCCTGAAAAAAGCTTACTGCTACTGCTATGTCCACTTAGCTAGGCTGGCACCACCTAGCGCCTCCGCTCAATTTAATTTCTCACCAGTAACCAGGTCAGGAATCAAAATACCCTAGACAGTTCGCAAAAACCCCGGAAGTGCAAGCTCAGGCACCAGACTGTCAGTATCAGTGAAAAGTCATATATTCAGTGTTGTCAACGATTCCCAATATCAAGGATTTAAAGCCGGAATAAAGAGAATGTTTGGTGAATTATATCAAGGAAAAAGACTTTATTGCCCTTCTTAGGGCCCCATTAGCGGCGCATTACATATTTCACAACCAAATAGCAGCGATTGGTTAAATGATAAAAAGTACCCGCTTACCGTTGAGCGAACGAATTCTAACACTGCAAGGTCAGACGGTTTCTATGAAGTGAAACTGGCTGATGAATCAGGCTAATGTCTACTATCACTATATTGACTTATCGTTCAATATATCATAGCTGAAACAATATATTTTAGGGCTAAATACTTATCATGTATACAATTTCTTCACAATAATGTAGAGATATTTTGCTATTTTTATGTTATAACTAGAGCCCGACCGATATATCGGCTGGCCGATATTACTGGCCGATATGGGGAACTGGAGACATATCGGCTATCGGCCGATATGCTTACTGATTTGGGCCGATATTTCACGTAGGCATGTTATACCTCGTTATAAAGCTTAGACTCTACATTATGTTCATTTAATCCAATTTACAGACAGATAAATGTCCTAATATGTGGCTCCACATCAGTATTTATCTGCGGTGTAATTTGTCTGTGTCTGTGTCTGTACTGTCCCTGAACACACCCCCACAGTCACGTCACTTCACTCACGTGCTATTGTTTACACCCGCAGCGGTGCGCAACACTGAGATTATATTCTTTTTATGGACAATCGGTTTGAGTCTGGATTAAAAGGACTTTTATTAGTTCAGACTTGTGATGTGAGGAGGAGCCTGTGTGAGCGGTGAGTGTTGGAAATACATCGACTTTGAAGCTAGTTTTGGCTATTTGTTATTAGCGATTAGCTGCTGTAGCTCCCGCACATAAACAGACTGTTTTCTATTGGTCTATTGTAAAGTGATTATATTGGCCGTATAATTGTTACTGGACCTGCACTGATATGTAAATGAGCTGTGAATAGACGTGTGAATGGTCCACATTTATGCATATAATTAATTACCGCGGTAAGAATATTTTTACGGCTAAAGGCTAATAGCGATAGTTTACTAGCTAGGAGTTATGGGTCGGTCGCGATCGAAGCGGCTCTTAGATCCGGCTCTTTGAAGCGAACAGCGGGAGCCTGCTTCTTATTGGGAGCCCTGTTTTCTCTTTTTCTCACTTTTTCTCTTCCCCTTGTAGACCCGTAGTTTGACAGCAGCAGCGGCTGAAAACGAAACTTTCAGAAATCTGCGTGTGCATAGGATAAAAAAAGTGCATATTTGGCTGCAGTTCAGCATAAAATGAATAAACCAGGACTAATCTTGGGCTCGAGTGCAGGAGAGAGATAGAAACCGAGTCCCGACACTCAGTCCTGGTTCAGTTCTGATTTAGTCCTGTTTTACACATGGTTTAAATCTGGTCCTGGTTTAGTCGTTTTTCAGTCCTGGTTCAGTTTTGCTTTAGTCCTGTTTGCAACAAAACAATCTCAAGAGTCGCTTGGGAGCCGAAAGAGCCAGCTGCTTTAGTGAGCCGAGCCAAAAGAGCCGGTTCTCCAAAAAAAAAAACTGGAATACCCATCACTAGTAGCTAGAATGTGATGCAAAAATGCCATTAGGCCAATCTACTGTATGTAAATATGATGTAAAGAGTCAAAATAACAATAAATCTTGCCTAAATAAACCCAATTTAGAATCCACTAGAGCCAAACCTAAGTTTTTTAAACAATTCAAGATTTACAGTGAATTTTTACATCACTAAATATATCGGCGATTATATCGGCTATCGGCAGCTCCAACTCTCATTATATCGGTTTCATATCGGCCACAACAAAATCCATATCGGTTGGGCTATAGTTATAACGTAAGTTGTAACATAATTTAAGATGTAGAGAGTGAAATAATAGCTTCTATGGCCAATTGTGGGTTCATTTTGCCAATAACTGGTTGCACCTCAAGCTTTTTAATGATACTGTCTATTTAAAAATTGGATCACTGGTATTATCCTCCTTTGTGACATTAGTATAAGGTATTTTCTAAATGATATTGAAGTAGAAATAAAGTTTATTGCAATATTTCGCTGTAGCAATATATCGTGTTGTATTTGTTATCATGACAGGTCTATTCCCATATGCCAATGCTTTCTGACAGTGAAAATACATTGTAACATAAATAATGAATAATTATTATTGCTGTTGTTGTTTGATCTCTGCAGTTGTGCGTGTCTTTGTTTGACCTTGAATGCATTTTCTTCACTCACCCTGGTGTTGTTCCGTTCAGCTTTCAGCTCCGATATCTCCTCCTCCTTCTCCAGGAGCTGCTCCCTACATGCGTTCAGCTCCTTGGTCAGCGCAGCAAACTCCTGGGAGAGAAGACAAATATGAGAACGGTCAGCATCACCCAATACTCTGCAATAACAGTCTTTGGTGCTTTTGGTGCTACATGATGCAACACAGTATAAGAGGACTGAAAAGAGGGATATTCATCTTTGCTAATTATTACCATGTCCTATAATTGATGTGATTTCCAACATGCAGCTAAAACAACAGACCATTAAATATAGGTGACAAGTATGCATCATCAGTGTGAAATATGATGATGATAGTAGTAATGCATACAGAGTAGTATATCATAAAAGCACTTAAAAAGACACAATTAAAAAAGCATATAATTATTGGTGATAAATTCTATTGATGTACAAAGTAACATAGGCAAACCATAATGATAAGTCACAATTATTACTGTAACAGAAGACAGCTATAATGCTAACCAGAGAAAATGATTTTGTAATAAAAACAACAATTGCTTTCACAAACCACACATATGCTCATTTGACAATTGCCCCGTTAATTAAAAAATATGTATATTTCTCTCAAATTGAAAAGGCTGTTTTTGAGATATCCCATGCTATTCTACGGTAAGAGTAATATGAAAACAATAAAATTACCAAAATAAAGACATCTAAGGTATTTCACCATAATAACAGTAGTAATATCCTAATAGATACAGTTCATCACACATTGCCATCTTCAAAGTGTATGTGCTGATTATCTGTTTTTGGTATGACACTGCTACAGAGCGTAACTGCAATTAAGTAATACTTTATTTTACAGACACACAGGGCTTGTCCTAAGAATAGGTCAGAGCCAGTGTGTTTCATCTGGGAAGGGTTCAATCCATACACGGTGGGGAAAGGATTGGATGTAATCTGTGGATAAAAGAGGATTGGTTGTATAGAGCAGAGTGGGCACAGGGCCAGCCATAGTGGACTTACACCTCACAACACACACTGGGAACGACTGCACTTTGTGTTGGAGAGCGAGGCAGACTATGGACAGAAGCTTTTAAATGGCAAGAGGAAAAGGTGAAGGGTCAACAGCGCATGTAAAGATGTTAGCCTACAGTGGACATGCAGAGCTACTCCAATATTATCTTCTTATTTATGTAAATGGATGCCAAATGTAAACACAATAAAAAATATCACTACTAGGACAAAAAAAACTCCAATATTTGTTTTGAAGATTCTCTCGAAGAAAAATGGAAAAATGGCCCCATTAACTGTAGAAGCATTCTTCCCATCACTCAGGGGAGTATTAGTGCCAAAAAAGAACCTTATTGCTGTTGGAAGGAGGGGAAACCTATATGGACACACACAGATACACAGGGAGAACATGCAAACTGCAGAAATACCCCTCCAGGTCCCAGAATTGAACTTTGTCATCCATACATTATAACAGAACAGACAATACTATATCCATTTATATGGAACTTTAAAAATTCACGAATAACCAGCAAATGCCATTATTTCTTATAAATAAATCACAGGAAGATAAGCATGCACCTTTAGACCACTGTCTTGAGTAAATAAACTACAATTTGACACATGTGCTTTGCTTGCAAATATATCTTTCCACGATGTAACCAAGACTGGGTTGAGAAAAGTCAAGGTTACAAGAGAGACATGACATAATGTAACATGTTCAAGACATGAACACCTTAAAGCTGTGGTATCTGATTTTCAAATCGTAAAAGGATAGAAAATGGGTACAGTATTAATCGATCTAGTTCATTGGCAGCTTTCACAAACCTTTGTAACATTGTTAGTATTCACATGAATGAGTGTTTGCACATGTCTACAGCTTTACAACAGCTGCAATTAAATTACAGAATGTACAATATTTTGTCCAGTGTTCCCATCTGTAGTCTATACTCGACTGCAGCACAGAATTATTCACATCATGCAGCAAATAGACTTATGTTTGTGTTAATAACTTCATTTCTATGCATATCTCAGGAAAAGACCACATGATAGATTTGAATTCCTAGGAAGCCTTGTCTCCATGCCTTGTTCTTATAAATAACCAGAAAATGCAGTGGTCAAGGTAAAGATAGACAACTGAATGGTTGAATGAACTGTAGTGTAAAAGTCTTCAGTCAGCAGAGAGCCTGAGCTGAGGAGGTTATAAATAAAAGGTGCAGATGTACATAGTGTGTGTGTGTGTTCAGAGCATCCACGAGATAGGATGTTCTCTTTTTAGTCGTTTTAGAGTGATATAAACACAAACTATGATATGACAATAATATGAGTTAGTCCTGCAGCTCAAACAAGCGTATAGGTATTCCACAAAGTTGACAACTGCAAGGAATTATCCAGAACAAAGTAAAATTGAGAGAATGTATAGTCTTATTGTTCACTGTTCTTTATCAAACACCTTGTGAGATGTTTTAATGCATTCATATTACTGCAATGTAAATAGGTCTTGTGACTTCTGTGCTTTAAAGTGCACTGACCAGCTGGACATCTGCAGCACCTCCTCCCTCCTCCGCCAGCTCCCTCTGTACCTGTATAAACTGCATTGCACTGCAGTATGTCAGCTACAGAACGCTAAGTGTGTCGACCTGAACACTTCCTCCTAAAGCTGAGCCTGTACATGCAAAAACAATTACACAAGTGGATTATGTATTTTCATGTGTCTCTGTAGAAATTATATGTATAAGGTCAAACCAAACATGCGCACCAAATAAAAGGCCCATATTAGGCTATTTTCAGATCAATGTTATAATATTCTTTCCTCATCAAAAACCCAGAGTACCAAGAGTTTCTTTTTTTTTCCCCACACATGTTTAATGCATATTTAACGGTATATTTAGGCTGAGTTTCTACCTTGTGATGTCATGTGGTAATACAGGAAGTGCTCCACTGTGTTTTTATACTCCATACACCTTCATTAGAATCATTTGGATGATTTCAGCCCTTGAACTGGCAATCTCTACTGAACAAAGGCCAAAGGTAGCTGTTAACTTGAAAACTACTGCTTCACGACATCACAAGGTGGATCAGAGAATTTTTAACTGTAGACAGGCAAAAAAATAAAGGATTAATCAGACATGTATGAATGAAACAAAACACAACTCCGAGTATGTTTTTGATGAGGTAACAGCATTATAACATGTCTAAAAGCTGATAGGAGATCCTTTCATATATTGTAGGACATTTAAAGACAAAAAGTTAAAGAAACACATAAACTGTGTCATATCCCAAGAAGCACTTAGTAAAAGTAATTACAATGTAGATCTGTCTTTCTCTTCTAATTTGGATGTATGTATTAAAATATTTGGGGGTTTAGCAGGTTAGAAAGAGGTACTCAAGAGGAAGGAATCACATTGCAAGAGTCATCTAAGTTGACTCGGAAATAAAAGCTATATTAGTACATTCTCCATTTTAAAACAAGAAAATAATGTAATACCGGTTATACTGTAGGCCTTCTTGATATACATCACAGAATGGAGGACACCGGTGGACAGGCTGCGGTTACATGTCCATCATTTCTTGTGTTAAATATTGAAGAGGCTGCTGTGTGCTGAGTGAGCATGTTGTCCGCTCAGACTCTTACAGGTGAGTTTACAGTAAGTGACAAGTGCAGCAGTCACCGAGCATCGACCAATGAAGATGCTCTCTGCAAAGCCAAGGACAGAGGATACGGTTCAGCTGTAGCTCTTATACAGCTACAGGAAATGTCAATATTACGAAAACATGAATGCTGCAGTGTTTGTTAGCTTTACACTATACAGAATACAAATAAGGCCGCATGTTTAGTTTACCTACCAGAGCATATTATTTACCCTACAAGGCAAGATGCCAATAGGCCTGTCACAATAACACATTTTGAAGCATGATTTATCATCAATATGGTGATAAACGATAATACTGAATCCACTTTATGCCACTGACACAAAAACAATAAAGCAGAATATTCCCAGTAAATCACTTAAAAAAATACTATATCATTAAAATGCTGCAACAAATAAATAGCAGAATGAATCAGTAATTAGCCATACATGTAGAAGTTATTTATTTTACCTTCTACAGATTCTTTTTTCTTACCTAAAAATAGTAAAAAATCTCACCACATTTGCAAAGAAATTGTACACATGATATAAAGTATATAGTTCCAGCTTTCATATACTGAATGCTAGTAATTTTTGTGACAGGCCTAGATGTCAATTATTACATACTAGACTTTAGTGGAAACACACAACTTAAAAACAACAACAAATTTAGACCAAAACAAAACATTAGCTTAGGATTCAATTATTTATTGCAGCAATTAGTATTCCTAATTAGAAAATAAGCAGAGGCTAAAGTATGCAGTCCATCCACCAACATAAATTTAACTTTAATGAGACAATGAGACCAGATCTGTGAGGTTTTTTTTTCTTCCCAAATGTCAAAAAATTAGAACATGCAACAATTGGTAATGTTGAGGGGAAAAAAAAAACATATCTGCAAATAAGAAACACACAGATTACACAATGTATTTGACAGAAGTGTCTATACTGAAAACAAACAGCTTCCAACTTTCATTAACTACGAGTCATGCATCAACAAAAGAAAAGCAGTGAATTTTCTCTCACGACTAATGTGGCGTTTTATTCCATCTGATTGCCTGTAATTATTTTGGAAAGGCTACCACCAAGCACTAAAGCAGTAAATGAGCTCAACAAACAACATGGCAACCAACAGTAAAATTACAATATGAGCTTTTGATGACATTGGACTGGAAATAAATTTAAACCCATGCAGATTATAACTGTCATATCAGTAGGCCTGTCACAATAATTACTATATCGATGGTCAATATATGAAAAATAGACCAATGGATCAGTTTTTATCGTGTGTACTTTTACTTTGCACAACCACACATTTGTTTATTTTTATATGATAAGATTTGTATCAGTACTAGGGGTGTAACAATATTCAAATCTCTCAGTACAATATTTTTACAATATGCATCTCATGTTATTAAGTTATTTTGTGGAGGCAAACAAAATTGTGAAAATGTTACTTTTCCTTTTAAAATG